TTTATCCCTGCTTGCTTCCTATTCTTGACTTCTGTTTCTGTGAGGTTGCTGCCTGGGAGAAAGGAGGGCATCCCTGACTGGTGGAGCATTCTTTGATGTCCCCATCTAGCTTTTACTGTCAGCAGACTGGATAGTTTGACCCTGAGGGCTCAGGCATGGCAAAGCTCAGGACGGAGGATCTTCCGAGATAATGTTCCAGAGAAATGAAGCTGTTCCTTGATGCCGCTGCCATGCGGTCCCTGCCAGGTCCTGTGGGCTGCAGCTGACACCTTCTACTCCCTCTTCCAGGTCTGGGTCCCAATTCTTCTTCCACCCCAGCACATGAAGTTGGCAGGAGGACCTCAGTGCTCTTCTCCAAGAAGAACCCTAAAACTGCAGGCCCTCCAAAACGTCCAGGACGCCCCCCGAAGAATCGGGACAGCCAGATCACTCCCGGCCACGGGAACAGCCCCATCGGGCCCCCCCAGCTCCCGATAATGGGGTCCTCCCAGCGGCAGAGGAAGCGAGGGCGAAGCCCGCGCCCCAGCTCCAGCTCGGACAGTGACAGTGATAAGTCCACTGAAGACGCTCCCATGGGTGGGTGCAGCAGCTCCCCCCGCGCAGCCAGGCGGCCGTGGCCCCGCTGGGAGCACGTGGCGGGGTGCTGCACGGTTGTAATGCTCTTCTGGTGGGGTGTTTTGCAGACCTGCCAGCCAACGGTTTCAGCAGCGGGAACCAGCCAGTGAAGAAGAGCTTCCTGGTGTACCGCAATGACTGCAATCTTCCCCGGAGCAGCTCCGACTCGGAGTCCAGCAGCAGCAGCAGCAGCAGTGCTGCCTCGGACCGTACCAGGTACCGGCATGGCTCTGATGCGGCGCTCGGCCTTGAGTTGCCAGATGAGGGAGCCTATTTGGTGGTACCCGTCTCGTTCACCGTCCTGTGGCCTGGCTGCTGTTATCTAAACCCTAGAAAGCTGCGGGTTTTGTGCCTTTTTTTAATGTAAAACGTAAAGGTGTGAGTGTGCAGCAAAGGGCTAGTAGGGAGCATGAACCGGGGAATTCCCTCTTGGCACAGCAGCTGCTCTGACACCGGCCCTTCCAGCAGCCAGCTCCAACAGGTTCCTGCCTGTGCCTCTAATTCGGATTGGTGCTCGTTTTCTGGGTCCATCCGGGTGAAACCGGGTGAAGGTCTGGCTGGCATCTCATTAGAAGCACCATCCCCCCTTTCTTCCTGGTACCCCTGCCGAGTCCGTCCCAGTGCTGACGGTTGAAGCCCATGGGCCCTGGCGTCCCGCCAGGCTGGCCCTCTTGAAAGCGGTTTCTGGAAGCTTAATGTGGCTCCTGCTGACGGCTCCGCTCCCTCTCCCTGCAGCACAACGCCTTCCAAGCAGGGCAGAGGGAAACCCTCCTTCTCCCGAGTGAACTTCCCAGAGGACAGCAGCGAGGACACGTCGGGGACGGAGAATGAGTCCTACTCCGTGGGCACGGGCCGAGGCGTGGGACACGGCAGTAAGTACTGCGGCCGCCTGGCCACCTGCCTGGCTGGTGCCTTCGCCCCGAGGGGGGACGCAGCTGACTCCCCTCTCCCCTCTCCTCCGGCACAGTGGTGCGCAAGGGCATGGGGCGCGGTGCGGGGTGGCTGTCTGAGGACGAGGATTCCTCCCTGGATGCCCTGGACCTGGTGTGGGCCAAGTGCCGGGGGTACCCCTCCTACCCGGCGCTGGTGAGTACCGCCCGCTCCCGGGGCCTCTGAAATCCACATTCCCCCGCCCACAGAGCGGCACTCGGGGTTCCCCCTTCCCCTCTCAGCCCTCCCCTCCAACTCCTCCGGCAGATCATCGACCCCAAGATGCCGCGGGAAGGCATGTTCCACCACGGCGTCCCCATCCCCGTGCCCCCCCTGGAGGTGCTAAAGCTGGGGGAGCAGATGACTCAGGAAGCACGCGAGCACCTCTACCTTGTCCTCTTCTTTGACAACAAGCGCACTTGGTAAGGCCGGGGCCCCGGGGGCTTCGGAGCAGGCAGGGGGGTGGGGGGGGTCGGGGGTCGTCCGGAGACGATTGTAACCCTCAAACGAGGTGGCCCCCCGCTCCCCGCAGGCAGTGGTTGCCCCGGACGAAGCTGGTGCCTCTGGGGGTGAACCAGGACCTGGACAAGGAGAAGATGCTAGAAGGTCGCAAGTCCAACATCCGCAAGTCGGTGCAGATCGCCTACCACCGCGCCATGCAGCACCGCAACAAGGTGCAGGGCGAGCAGAGCAGCGACTCCAGCGAGAGTGACTGAGCTGGCCCCCC